TTGAATCGATATTTTTACTTTCATTTATAAATTTTTACGCACTTTGGCTACCACACTATGTCTTTACTTCATCACCAGTTAGATATATTGAATTTCGTATCAGGTATATTTCTGGAATAAATATTTTAACTTATAAAATTATAGAATACATTTAAATATACTACATTATCAAAGATTAAATGAACAGAAAGTTTACCAACTTCAGAACTCGGTGGTCCCACTGTTGTAGTGGAGCAAATTACCTTCCACCCCCAATCCAGGGCAATGAAAAATACTAAATTTAACACGAACTCGCAAAGTTAAGAGATAGCCGAACCTATATAGTTGGAAAGTGGTCTAAAGAGGATAAAACTTATTATCAAGGATAATGGGTGATATACAATACTGACCATGCTAGATTTAATCCTTATGGGGCTGGTAAGCACCATTCATGTGTCAAGAACACACCTCATTATCAAATTTGAAAATTTAAGTAAAGATTATAATTTCAACTCTACGTCAAAAATCTTTACTCAAAATATTCTACAATGTATACGTTCTCGTTTTGTAACAATTGATTAATGTAATTCGTAAATAAAAATATTTAAACTTACAATTTCGCGCAGCTCGGAGGAGTCTCGCCTGTAAAACAACACTTGTACATGCAAGACAAAAATACGAAACATTATAACCCGAGTGCTCGGGTTATAGAGTTTCGCATTTTTCTGTTCAATTGATTTTTGAACCTATGTTTTCCTAACGTTACTTATACTTAAATAATTTTCTGTTCCTACTAAATCATAGCTTTATACTCACTAAGAAACTATCATCCCTTGAGAATATAATTCTGAGGGTTTTGTTTCTCAGATGATTTATATTCTCTGAATTTGATTACTACAGCATCTCATTTCCCACCCTTTTTATGACATCACAGCATGTGATTGAACAATTACTAACAAAACTCGTTTCTCAAAATAGCTATAGACGAACCTTAAATATTATTGGATAGAGTAGATTATAAACTATTTATGTCACTGTAGAGTAAATAAAGATTTATGGTTTTATGGGAACTGACAAAGAACAACGGAATGCTGTGGAAAGTTTATCAGAGATAGAAATAAACCACAGATCTCGCAATATTATATATACAATGATGTTCTTTTTATTCCAGAAAATGCTTTAAGTTATATTTGTTTGAAATATACGGAAACTTTTTTTTCTATGATAAAATATCAGTTAAGCCTTATTATATTTATATAATTGTTTGTTTTTGAATTTCGTGCAAAGCTACACGAGGGCTGTCTGCGCTAGCCATCCCTAATTTAGCAGTGTAAGACTAGAGGGAAGGCAGTTAGTCATCACCACCCACCACCAACTGTTGGGCTACTCTTTTACCAACGAATAGTGGGATTGACCATTACATTATAATGCCCCCACGGCTGAAAGGGCGAGCATGTTTGGTGTGATGGGGTTTCAAACCCGCGACCCTCAGATTGCGAGTGAGCGCCCTAACCACCTGGCCCTTATTTATATAACACTAGTAGGTGATTCAAATCCTTATTTGTTGAATATTATAATTATCATAATTCCAACATTGCACATAAATAAAGTAACTTATTGATTTATCGAAAAAAAGTATATGTAGTATTGTAACGAATTTATTATTATGTATTTATTTTTAATATGAACGTTGTTTGAATT